AGTATGAGAACTGTGATGTTTGTTATCTATGCCTTCCCTCTTCTCTAATTTTCTTACCATCCCATCGAGAAGTATGAAATTTAATGTAAATTGCTTATTATAATGTTTTCATCACTCAGGCAAAGCATAATTTACATAGCCTACAATCTTACTTAGTTATAGAGCAATAGAAAATCAAACCCCTCTTGTCACACCCACCTGTCATATCCCCTCTTTCAGAACTTGCCAGTAGTTCTCTCTGACATTTAAGACTATATTATTTAAAACCAATAGAAAGCCAAAGTTTCTCTCTATAAAATTATGTATTATATTACATTGTTGCTTGTACAGAAAATTGTCTATTTTCCTTCCAGTTCAAACTTTATTCCTATGGGAAACACATCTGTGAGCTTAGCTGGATTTTTAATGACTTTGTCGCACAGTTAGAAAGCCAGAAAAATTGTGATAGTTGAGGAACATTGTTTCCTTTTTGCATGTTTTTATTCTGTGTTCTTTGATTCGTTATTTAATTAAATAGAAATTATTAAATGCAGTAGTACAATTAATATAAAAAAATAGGGTTAAGTTTCCTCAACAGTCAAGAGCAAAAAAAAAGACCCAGGTAAGTACTTTATTTGTTTTTCATGAGTATTCTTTATTTATCGTTTTAAATGTAACTATAATGTAAAAAATCTAAAACTTTTTAGGTTAGATAAACCTTTTGGGGGTTGTGATCTTCCATGGCAGCCCTTATCCCCTTAGGTTGTGCCCATATGTGGGCTCTTCACAACCAGTGGAATCTTGCACGGGATCCTTTGTAGGCTCTTATTACCCTTCCTCCTATTCTAGTCAACAATTTGCAATGGTGGTTGTACAAGACTCATGCATTGGCAGGTGTTCTGCTTCCTCATTTTCGTCCAGATCTACACATTTTCACGAATGCATCCCTTCAGGGATGGGGCATGCATCGATCAACTGGAAGCTTTGGAGTATTGGTCTGCAGACTAGAGGTCTTATCATATCAACATCCTGGAGCTTATCGCTGTACATTAGGCTGAGGTTCATTTTCTCCATCTGGCCAGAAATTGTCTGGTAATGATTTATTTTGACAATTAAAAGTGGTTGCTTCTCTCAATCACCAGGATGGTACCTGTTCTTGATCCCTCTGTATTTGTACGTTGGATCTTATTTTTGGGCCCACATTGCATGTCTTGTTCTGGGTGCTTTCAATCTTGTTGCAGATTGGCTTTCCCATCCAGATTTTGTCTGGAGTGGTCTCTCAATCCTCTAGTTTTCCAGTGGGGTACTCCTCACCTTACCTCTGTTTTGGTGTCTTATCCCTCTTCTTCTTGCTCTGGTTGTTAATGCTTTCAGCCAAAATTGGACCAATAAATACCTATATATTTATCCCCCACTCATTATCTTCACTGGGTGATTTTGATTATCCATACCACTCCATGTCAAGTCCTTCTGATTGCTCCTTATTGACTGGCTCAGCCATGGTTTCTGTGACTTCTCCAGCTCCAACCTAACCCTCCATTACCTCTTCTTTGTCGACCTTTGTCACTGGTGCTTCATCCAGCCCTTCATGTCCTCTGTTTTACACCTGGTTTTTATTCATGTGTAGCTTCATTTCCGGCTCATTCCATATGCCCTACCTCCATGGAAGTTTATCAACATAAATGGAACCTTTTCTGCCATTGATCTCTGGGTCAAGGGTTTTCTGCTGATCGACCCACTGTATCTCATATTACAGATTTTTTTTACTTGGCTTTTTAATCAGAGATCTTTTGTCTCCTTGATTTTAGGTATACCTGTTGATGCATTTCTTTCAGATTTGTCGTCTACTGCTGCGGGCTGCTCTTCCAGACTTGGATGTTAATGTGGTCTTTCACTGCCTCACTTTGCCTCCATTTGAACCACTTTCCATGTGCTCCTTATTTCACCTTTCCCTTAAGGCTAGGGAGGGCAACTCCTCCTTTATACCAATTTCCCTTCCATTTTCCACTTTTATCCTAGGCCTGATCTTGATAGATTTCTATGTCCTGTACGTGATCTTCATTGTTTTATTACCCACATGGCTTCCTTCTGTGGTACCCATTCCTTCCTCTTTATTCCTTGGCAGCCATTCTTATCTTATGTTCTTCTCTCATTTATACTCAATCAGTGTTGTGGGTCATGGTGGAGTAATTGCGGATTGTTTCGGTTAAAAACCCTTGCACTATCCCATGATGTTTCTTATTCCAAGGCTGTTAATGTGCTTGGGGTGGTTCTGATCAATTTCACTTTTGAGGAGATGGTTTACATTATGTAAACATTTTTTTGATACCAGATGTCAGGTTCCCGGATCGATCTATCAATTTATCATACTCACATGTGTCTTGTTCATAAGTCAGGGAGTACCAGATTCTTTTTGGTCTCATGAACTTGAAGTGAAATTGGTATGATTTTCTTTCTTACCCCCACATGGATGTCAGTACCTGGTGGCCAGGTTTTGGATTGTAGTTGAATTACCAATGGTATGATCCTCATCCTACCCCCATGTGTATGTCAGTTTTTAGCAGCATGGGTTTTGGATGTAGTTGACTTGCCGTGTATGGTCCATCATACCCAAGCCACTCTACACCTATGGGCACATCCTTTTCATTTTACCCACTTTATAATTTGTGGGATTGAGGTACATAAATATTGCATAGTTCAGATCACTTTCCGGTCATAGTTCTCTCCCAATTGAATGTGCTCCTTTGTTTTCTGTCCATATATGCAACATCTTTCTATGATGGGTGAAGAGTATACCTGGTTCAGATGTGATGTGGTCTCCCTCATCCGATCTTAAAATCAGACTACCTCATTTTAGGGAGTGTCCTTTGGTTGCTTTCGAAGGATGGTTCTATCTTTTCCTCGCACTGGTCCCTCCTGCTATCAATGTGGATTCTAGCAATTTATATGAGTGGAGGTAATGTACTGTATTGGAAGTTATAATTTTCCTATACTGAAAATGTATTCCTGATAGGTACTTACTTTCTCTCACACTTCCCACCCTTCCTCATCACTGAAAATTGGTGCTTCCATTTTCTGTCAAAACTCAAAGTGATAGTTAGGTAGAAGTGAACAGAGGGAGTTGTATGCATAATAAGAGTATGTTGCACTGCACTCTTATTGGTGGTGGGTTGTTGTATGATGATTTGCATGAGAGGTTCGTTGTATTTAACCAATTCCAATGGAGGTGAGACTTGTAGCATACATAAAAAACATTTGCATATAGAGGGCAGCACTTAACAAAAATAGCTATTTATGTGAGAGAAAGTAAGTACCTATCGGAAATACATTTTCAGTATAGGAAAATTATAAGTTTGCACTCATAAAGAGAAACAACATGCAGTGTAAATTGTAAATAAAGTTCTTCATTGAACATTAACATGCTCTTTTCCACTTGTAGAACATAAACATGTAGTGTACATTGTAAATAGTTTTCCATTGACACTGAAGTGTTATTTTTTCTCTTTTTTTCAGTTTATTAAATTATACAAATGGGACCCTTGAAAACTAGTTTGGGACTTAAATCTCACTGGGACTTTTGAAAATAAAAAGGTTGAGAGTCTGGGATCCTAGTGAAAACATGGGTAAAATTTATAATAGAATGAAAACTTCAAATGAAATTTTTTTTACAAATGCAAGAGAACAATGTGTCAATTTGCATATACTTATGCATAAAATACTACAGATCTGGGGCAGAACAAAAAGGGAATATGCATGTATCTATGGATGCACAAAAATTAGGTGTTTTTCATATATTTTCTGAATGCAAGAATGACATGTGAGGTTCCATTATGAAAAATATAAAGTTGCTCATGAAAATCTAATAATCATCAAACTGCTCTTGGGTTCTGTTATTTGTTGTAGCAATTGTTACTCTTAAATCAATAATATATATATATACATTTTATTTACAGAAAAAAGTCACTCAGGACTTGCTTGCACTTCAGTTGTAAGAACTTAGTAAAAAATGTAATTGTAACAGCTCAAATATTTTTCAAGTTTCATATTTTAACAATATGAGTTTTTATTTTATGAATAAAACATTTTTTAACATAATTTCTATCATATATTATTATGTGAACTGTATATATTGCACTTCTAGATTTAATTTTATTTTGCTCTTTCATAAGCTTATATTTATTTCTCCTGATTAAATTTCAGGACTTTCTGTTAGTTTGATATTTAATTTATGTTTCTATGCCTTCTGTTTTTTCAGAAAGAGATTTGACATTTAATGCTCATTAGTTGAGAAAGCAATAGCGTTGAGTGAAACTTATCAAGCATATGAAATTGTACAGTCAATTGTAACAGCAGTGAAGCAACTTAATGGGCACAATTTTAGAACATCCATAACATTTGGAAGCCAGATTTTTTATGGATAGTGGAGATTACAGTAGGCTGGGTCTGCAGTGGCAAAGTAATCCGATGATTTTATATTGAATACGATGTCATATTTATTGTATTTGAACAACATATACACAAATATATCATCTTATTTAAAAAAAAAACAAGTAACTGTTAGATATAAATTGATCTTGACAAAATATAATTCTCTGACATCTGATGAAGGTATCATTGTTGGCATTTTGTAAGGTGGGATCATTTGTCACTTTTAAATTTTGAGTCTTGCTATGTTTGTATGGTTTGTAGTAGGTTTAATTGGATTTTCAAATAATGAATGAAATTGAAAAGTTTCTCTGCAAAGTGCCAAGGTAAAAAATTAAAAAATATTCTGGAGAATTGGGATTAGCTGTTTAGTTCTACAAGTTATGAATTAATAGGTGATTAATGTATAATGTTGTGTCAGACTGAAATATATAAAATTTGGTTAATCTCAAGTGCACTATTTGAATACTAATTAAACTTACTAGAATATTATTTAGTATTTAGTGATAGATTATGTTACAGTGAAAAGTTAATAACCTTTAATACAAATTGCATGATATTATTTGTTTTATGGATTTTATGTCGGTGAAAATCAGGATTCCCAATTTTATCTGGGGGACTCACTTCTAAGCATTAAAAGGCCTGAGACTGAACAAAAAAGTGGTGGGCACCCTGAAGACTTTAAAATCAATAATTAAAATCTACAACAAATAAAAGGTAAGCATTTTTGTTTCTTAAAACAAACGTATCACAATGAAATATTTTTGAATTTTCAAAGCATACCAATAGCATATATAAAGATATTTGCAGAAGCTACATAATCTGAGAAAGTCCTTTGATGTTTCAAATTATTTCATCCACTTTTGTTTTGTTTTTATTGCAATGCAATGAAACAAACTATATAACAGGTTCATTGAATCAAAATTGTAGTTTACAAACTACAGAATTAATGTTCAGACATTCAAAGAATGATTGGTACTGAAACTGCAAAAAACTTTTTTAATTGAATAATGACAAGGCTGCTGGTAAAAATAATATAAAAGTGCTCTCAATTACAGTAAGCTCTTTTTTTCTTTCTTTTTTTGAGAAAAGCAGTTTTTTTTTATCCATCATCTAGAATTTGTGGCTATAATTAAGGTAAATAATGAGAGTTTGTTTAATGAGTAAGATAGTCTGTTTCGGGAAAACAATATTCCTTAGGAAAATCTGGTATCCATATTGATGGATTCCTACTCTGTGATGCAAGGATCCAAGAAGGGAGTGAGTAGTTAACCTTTTCCACATTGGTCAAGGGTCATGTCATTGCATTTGTTGACTTGACATTGAAACTTTTATTGAACTACTATTTTATGAATTTATGTCAATAAGTTTGGTATCAAATACATAATCTAATTTCTTAATTTAAAAATAAATATTAAAAAATACATCTAAACATTGATTTTTTTTGTGTGTCACATGGTATGTTAAACACAGCACTGGTTCAAGTTTGATGTTTGTGATGTCAAAATGCAAAGTCTGTAGTTTCGTACAAATTAGGAACTCAAATTATCAATATTAACAAGCTAGAATATAAAATAAGAACCTCCTATTTTTTCTATTTGCTGAGATATCGCTCATGTGCTGAATCAAACACAGTGGCCCCGCTCACCTCTTCCAATTTTGGAAATGTTCCTTTATATACACCTACTTCTGTCTATGACGTGAATAACCAATCGAAAGCTCAGAATGTTCAAATATTACGACGTCATCTCGTTTTTCCGATACAAATCTCCAACCTGTTAAAAGTGAGTCTTTAGTCTACTCGAAATTTCATATCTTTTTTAGACCCAAATACAGCTTAGTTACTAAGCTTGATAAATTATAGTGGAATTCTATGGTATCGATGTAGTAATTTATGATTTTTTTAGTTACTCAAATGTATGTATAAAACCTAAAATAAATATTTTGTTTCATATCCTACACGTGTAAAATTTTTAAAGGCTTAGCAACTTACGTCAAGCAGCAACCGAGTATAAAGGTCATAACTAGAAGAGAATTGTTTACTTTGCTTCTTCATTTACTGTTCTATGTTTTAGGAAAAATCAGTTTAAGAACTTATTTCTAAATAGTAATAATCTGTATACATATATAATGTATAATAATTGAAATGTGAATGTATTTTACAAAGTACTAGTTGACAGCCAAGACAAGTTACT